ACACAACGTTGAAATATTCAATGCAGCGTCACCCTTGCATGTCTTCATGCAAATTCAGGCCTGTAATGAGATTTACAGGTATCTAATGGAAGCTGCAATAGGCCGTGTTGATGACTTTATGACTGCACACTCCACTGCACCACCAATGACCATAACTTTAGTACCCAGAAGTTTAGGACCTGTGGTGCCCCTCCTCAGGAATAGCCTCGAAGGATTGCTTTAGATTTGGGGAACATGCTGATCACTTCACAGTGGACTAGATCACATTTTACATCTACAGGTGCATCTCAATAAATTAGAATGTCGTGGAAAAGTTAATTTATTTCAGTAATTCAACTCAAATTGTGAAACACGTGTATTAAATAAATTCAATGCACACAGACTGAAGTAGTTTAAGTCTTTGGTTCTTTTAATTGTGATGATTTTGGCTCACATTTAACAAAAACCCACCAATTCACTATCTCAACAAATTAGAATATGGTGACATGCCAATCAGCTAATCAACTCAAAACACCTGCAAAGGTTTCCTGAGCCTTCAAACTCTGTCTGTCTGTCTGTCTGTCTGTCGTTCTATCATTCTATCTATCATTCTAACTTTCTCTCATTCTATCTATTGTTTTATCATTCTAATGTTCCATCACTCTATCTAGTTATATCTATCATTCTGTTGTTCTATCTATCTATCTATCTATCTATCGTTCTATCTATCGATCTATCATTCGATCTGTCGTTCTATCATTCTAATGTTCCATCACTCTATCTAGTTCTATCTATCTATCTATCTATCTATCTATCTATCTATCTATCGTTCTATCTATCGATCTATCATTCGATCTGTCATTCTATCATTCTAATGTTCCATCACTCTATCTAGTTATATCTATCATTCTGTTGTTCTATCTATCTATCTATCTATCTATCGTTCTATCTATCGATCTATCATTCGATCTGTCGTTCTATCATTCTAATGTTCCATCACTCTATCTAGTTCTATCTATCTATCTATCTATCTATCTATCTATCTATCTATCGTTCTATCTATCGATCTATCATTCGATCTGTCGTTCTATCATTCTAATGTTCCATCACTCTATCTAGTTCTATCTATCTATCTATCTATCTATCTATCTATCTATCTATCGTTCTATCTATCGATCTATCATTCGATCTGTCATTCTATCATTCTAATGTTCCATCACTCTATCTAGTTATATCTATCATTCTGTTGTTCTATCTATCTATCTATCTATCTATCTATCTGTCTATCTATCTATCTGTCTATCTG